ACACTATGCAAGGTTATCATTTACTTTCAGTGTTATCACCATATACTGGTAGTTGATTTTCACTGGCTATTTAATCCCAGGCCATTAATATATATATGATCTGCAGTTGTTCAGAAAGCTCACACAAAAAATCTGAAAATGACTCAGAAGCAGCCACAGATTGGAATAAATGATACATAAAAACAAAATGCCAAAGTTGTTATGAGTGAGTTTTGGGGGTCATTTTAAATTTCTTTTTAGAAAGTGAAAATTCTGCACAGTCCTCTGATACCATGACATATGTGCGCTATTACATTCAATAAAGTCAAAAATTGCAAACATTTTGTTAAAAAATAATGGAAAAGACACTGTCAGAATATAAGATTGCCTCAAAAAGAACTTTCTGAAAGTTCTTAAATTATCCTTTCAGTTCTCTGTCTATTGAATATATTTAATTATTGAGTTGCAAGATGCTGTTTTCAGCTCACATCTGACTGCCTCGGTTTAAGTTTCTGTTCAAGGAAAGATACCAGAGGCCTGCTGAAGTAACACCCTGTCCCTGCTTTAAAACTGATCAGGTCCTCTGCCAGAGTAAATCTAATATGTTAGCAGATTGATATAGTTCTTAAAATCACTTGCAAACAACTTGCAAAATTACTTACAGACCTATTCCCTCTCATGCTGAAGATGTCTATTGCAAAGTGCAGACACTTTCCTGAAATATCCATAGTAGCACCTGATTTACCAGAGGGGGCATGGATTACTCACTAGTGGAGGAAGGGAACAAAGCATAGTTTGATGGTTGGAATATTCTTCCACTTTTCCCAAGAAAATATAGGAATTAACTCATTTTAATGGGCTCTAAATGGTCATCTCAGCTCAAAATAAATTAATGTGAACGCTGAAATTCATTTATCCAATTGTTCATAGATCCATTCTTTATATTCTTGATCTCATTACTTTTTCAGTACTGTAATGGGATATAAACATGTTAATACGTTTAACAACACAGACATCTTTGAATAAAGGCTACATTTCTAACTATAAATAAGAACACGCTTCTGCATTTCTTCCCTTGCTGAACAGATTACATTAAATGTGAGCAGTACCAGTACCTGCAGAAATACTTAACATTTCAATAGAGCAGAATTGTTTTGTGAAAAAATAAAATATTCATCCTTCTTTTATAGATTACAGTAAATGTTGAAATTCTTCCCACCTTCACTCTGCACCAGGCATGGGCAAACTCTGGCCCTTTAGGTATTTTGGACTTCAACTCCCACAATTCCTAACAGCCAGTTAGGCATTATGGCAGTTGAAGTTCAAAACACCTGGAGGGCCAAAGTTTGCCCATGCCTTCTCTACACCCTCACGTTCTTTATCTGTTTAGCAGATTCCCCATTTCCTTTGAAAAATTGAAGTTTCAAACGTACATATATTTAGTCATTGTGATTAACAATCTTCTCTAGTATCATTTTTCCCTGGTTTTATACACACATTTTGTTTTTAATTATTGGTTCTGTCTTCCTGTCATGCTTTACATATCTCTGCTTAAAGAAAACACGGTATACAAATTAGAGAACTAAAAATACTATTTCAGTTAAGACAAAGAAATGCATATCAGTATATACAATGTAAAATAAGTGGATTTAACAATATCTATTAAATGGAATTCTCCTACCTAACACATCTACTACATGAATGCTTAGGGAACATTACACACTTTCCGTATATCTGCCGAACCATTGGAAATTAGTAGGGTAGCCAACACACACTGAGGAACCTTCCACACAGCCCTATATCCCATAATATCAAGAAGCTCTGTATAAGGGATCAGTGTTACATATCTCCTGTTGATTTATTTACCTAACTTATATGCATCCTTCTCCAGAAAAGATTTCAAAGTGGTTTGACAGTAAGAACTCCAGAGAATCGTGTAACAAATCCAATTCATGAAACTTCCTTTATATATTTATATATGTATATGTATATGTATGTATGAGACTTAATAATATATATTTTAATTAAAAGACATGGACACACCCAAGTCATATTGTAAATTGCTTATGAAAAGGCTATCAAATTGAAAAATAGTTTATAGTTTGCAATTCATGAAACTGACATACAAAATTTCCCTGGAAATATGGAACAGATTGAATTGCGAAGCCTATATTCTAAAGAATCTGAGATGAAATGTTTCTCTTCTGTCACTCTTTGGGAACAGAGTGATCCCTATTACAAATGTTCTCATCTCTTTAAAAAAATGGAATTCTATTTTAGATTTCATCTAACATTCTCCCTGAATTATAACATAATTATAATTCTCTCAGGGCTGTGAAGTTGAGTTAGTGACCTGGAAAACAGTTGCAATATATGTGGGTGGATAGACACATTTCACACTCTGCCCGTTAACTGTAAAACAGTTTGAAGCAACATCTAATTTGCTTAAATCAGGTGTTAACTGTGTTATACCGGGACAGAACTGTTTATCAGCTATGTAGTCAAAACCTTTGGGAGCTGCATCTGTTCAAGCTGTAATAAACCATCATAGTGGTAACTTTCTCCCCCTTTTCCCTTGCTCAGTAATTGCCCAGGGAAATTCAGTACCAGCTCTGGGTTATAACAAGTTTTAAAAAACTGCCTTAGATTCTTTCATAAGAAGGTAAAACATTAATTTAGTTGACTAAGTTACTGTTTGGAGGGGGTCCTTTGGATTTTTTTTTACTTGTTGATAGTTGGAAAATATTTTCTAAACAATACACAATTGCTAAAGTTGTAACCTCAAAAATCTGCTCAACCGATGGTATAATTTTTAACCAAATAGAATTTCCATACATTTTAAAGGGGCAAAGAATAGTTCTGAAGTGAAAATATGCTTTGTTTTTAAACTATTGTGTGTATCAATCAGAGGCAAGTCAGAAAAAGAGTAATGTCTCTTTTAAGATGGTGTTTGCAGAGAAGTAAGCAGAGAAGTGAGAGAAGAACAGCATTATGCTTTTCTCTGTCGGGTGCTGGAAGGATTTCTTAAAAAACATTTCTCTCCCACTTCATTGCATAGGAAAACCATTATTTACCCCACTTCCGGAGCTGATTTAAATCCCCCTTCTTACACTGTGGGGTAGTAGATAATGCCAAATCCAAAATAACAGCTTTCCAGTCCAGTCAGGCCCATAGCCAGGATTTTGATTCGGGGGGGGGGGCTGAATTTGGTTCGGGGGGGTGAGTCTGAGTGAAAGAGGGTCTACCCTAGCAAACCTTTTGTATCGTTACCCCAATACCCCCATGCATATGGGATATATTGAGCATGGTGATCAGATCATGATATGAATAAACATAACAGTTTAAATAATGTACCAGTAAGGCCTTTTTGCGGACCACCATGAGAATTTTGGGGGGGGGGGCTGAAGCCCCTCAAGCCCCCTCCCCCCCGGCTACATGCCTGAGTCCAGTGGTTCCCAGCCTATCGTCCAAAATATGGTCTGTGGAATCACCATTACTATGCTGTTGCAACAAGAGCAACTGGTCTCGCAAAATCCTCATATTGTGGTTTATTAAGGTTTATTAAATATCGTTTTTTGTGGACGAGCAGATGGTGACTACTGGATGGCATATGTTCTATATCAGAAACTCGAGCTGTTGTGGTCTATCCAATGTAATTTTCTGAATCGGCACCCCAAATAATCAAACCAGGTCTAAAGTTGACCAAAATCTGATTTGTAACCTTTTTGGTACTAATGTTGGAAAGTAGTCCCTGGTCAAGTGGTCTCTGGTACCACTGGTGTATACTATGTTATCTAATATGCTTCTTTTACCTCTTTCAACATCAGAGTTCCTAAATGAAAAAAGTAAACTGCTGGAAGTATGAGGGAATAGCCAGATTCGTATCTCACCCTCTAAAAGACAGAGCATAGAATATTACCTTTTAAAAAGTGTCACATTGCTCTAAGTCCACTTACAATTTATAAGTAGTACACATTGATTAACATGGCATTACTCGTTAATATCAAACTAGTCATTCATTCCTTTTAAATTATTTAATTCTTTAAAACACAATATTTCAAGATTTTAGGAATAAGAAGCAAGTCACTGTTTGTTTTTAGTAACACAGTTATCACATTTGTCCTTTTAAAAGTAACTTGACAACACTGGTACTTTAAAAGCTGTTTGTTACAAATAGTATTATTACATATTACTTTCATTCTCTGAAAAATGCAGAACTTCATAGTTGGAGGGACAGGTCTAAACGTCTCTGACAACTTGCCAACAACAATAGGCAAGTTTCCCCTCCATTTTTGCCAAAGGTTAAATTCTTTAACAATAACAAATGGCTCAAAAGCTGTGTAACTGTGTTTTTCCCATAAAAGATGAAAAACAAAACAAAAATGAGTGTTGATTTTTAATATACTGAATTGGGCTGCAATTTTTATTTAGACTTTCGAGATAGTAAGTTCCATATTCAAGTAAGCATGATGAAAGGTAGCACCATACAGCGGGGATATGATTATGAATAACACCACATACAGCTTCCAAATACTTTTTCTTGTTCGTGACTTGTGAGTAACAATGACCTCCGGACAATTAATTTTTGGTTTGATTTTCTTTTTATATAAAAATAGCCACTGATCAAATGAAGTAAGGTTTTGTGCTGTGGATCTAGATCTTCAGGGAAAACATTGAAATAGCTGAAAACTAATATACAAAACAAAAGAAGAAGTATTAGGGGCATGAACTACATGTGTGTGGCTGCCAAGAACTGCACATATGTCACTGTATAAGTGGTTCATCACCAAAGAAATATATCACATTACCAATGCAGATCATCAGTTGCAGTCAAGAGAGAGGAGCCTATCTACACTGCTAAGTCTACAGTGATCTTATAATGCAGTTCCAAACTTTTATGGCAAATGAGAGCATATTTTTTAGATATTGTTAAAAACATGCTTCTTTATTATGTGGTTAGATTTGCATTGTTTCATTTTCTGTGTGAAATCTTTTAATTGGTACTTTCATACTTTTAACAGGCCATGGCGCTGATGTCAAATGTGTTGACTGGCATCCCACAAAGGGATTGGTGGTTTCTGGAAGTAAAGATAGTCAACAACCTATCAAATTTTGGGATCCAAAGACTGGCCAGAGCCTTGCTACACTGTAAGTGTCTGGCTCTTCTTAGAAAATGCTTTTTTATTCATACAACAGCTGTAGATAGCTTGGTATTGATTTGAACAATGTTACTGCAGCCAGCCCTCCACATTGACTGGGGTTAGGGGCACAGGACTCCTGCAAAAGTTTAGGGAGGGGAATCAAATAATAAAATTGCTATTTTGTTAACTTGAGGGAAAACCTATCTAGAAATCTCTAGTTTTTATGGCCAATTTCTGCTGGATCATACTGGAGGACATTGAACAGTGGTTCTCAACCTGTGTGTCCTCAGATGTTTTGGCCTTCAACTCCCAGAAATCCTAACAGCTGGTGAACTGGCTGGGATTTCTGAGAGTTGTAGACCAAAATACCTGGGGATTCACGGGTTGAGAACCACTGACCTAGAGATTCCTAGAGAGGTGTTCCCTCTAAGAATATCTATGTTCTCGAGCATGCCTCTGCCATCAACTTATGGCAGAACTTGACCATGGAGTTGAACTGGAGGACCTAGAGGTTCCTAGAGATAACATTTGAATCAAATCCGCAAATGTAGAGGGCCAACTGTAATTTCATTTAGAATACTTTATAAGGTGATTGCGCCATCATTATCTAAGTTCATAAAAGGAGGAATCCACACAACTTTCAGCTTCCTAGTCACTACCCAGGGAAAGCTCATTCTGTTACACTATTCTTAGAATTTGGTGTGAGAATTGGTTTCAAAGTGAAATTTATTGAAAAATGAAATAGATATGTTCAAGATCAAAAATACTTTTAAAACCACAGGAAACACAGTGTAACATGCTAAGTTTGTAACTGGAAATCACTTGAAATTTCTAGGTAATTAGCAGATGGTAGCGAGATGATATGACTCACCACATTGTTGTGGTCTGAGTATCACAGTGAGATTAGTGAGACCCAAATTCATATTCCAGTTGCCGTGAAGATTATATATTTTCAGATTACAACCTAATCTAATGTACAGGATTATTGTGAGGATGACACAATAGTCCTGTTAGAGGAACCATATATGCGTCTCGATTCAAAAGGAAAGGCAAAATACAAACTACATAGCAATGAATAAATGTGGGGTCCCTGTTTGTATGATGCTTTAACAACAACAAAAATAGTATGCCAGTAACAGCATCAGTGCCTCTTCTAGCCATTTTTATATGCAGATTCAGGTTATAGCAGAAGCAGTTTAGGGAAGACACTAGAGATCCTGTTAAGAGATCTCCACATCTGTTTAAAATCCAGCATAAGCATAGATGGAATTCTTTTGGGACCATGGCATTGGAGCAGAAGAGTTCATCCTTTATCTTTTATCATTTGCTTAGTGTACTTTCCTCTGATAACCTCCCCCCCCCCCCAAACATTTACCATTGCTGTTGCTATTCGTTCAGTTAAAGAAATCTTAAAGGTACATATATATTTTCTCAATTGGGGGAAAAAAACAGTTTAATGGGGATTATATTAGGAAGATAGCATTAGTGGAAATAATTAATCCCTTCTTACCTAGCACGAAGACCCCATTCCCCTACTTCATGTATGCTGGTTTAATAAAGAAGAAGGGGAGAGGGACATCTAATCATAGTTTTCTTAGATCACAGATTTAATTTTTGAAAGAGAAATACTAAAGAGAACTACTAGATGCTGGTTTACAGCTGAGAGAAGTCTCCTGGTTAGAGCACTAACTTCAGTAGACATATTTTGGTCTATATTAAGAATCTGTATACACCTTTACATGATATTAGAGAAGGTCATACATGCTTCTTTCCCTGTTTTTAATGTGAGACAGGCCTTTGCCATTCTAAGGTCCCTTTTACACTGCCATATAACCCAGATTATCAAAACAGATAATCCACAATATTTGCTTTGAACTGTATTATATGAGTCTACATGACCATATAATCAAGTTCAAAGCAGATAATCTGGATTTTATATGGCAGTGTAGAAGGGGGCTTACTCTTTGTGAAAAATGACATAATTTGGAGCTATATTTGGGGTTTCTGTTGCTTAGGTTTAATTGATCACATACTCAATTCTGTACAATTACTCTTATTATTTTTCCAGACATGCTCATAAAAACACTGTGATGGAAGTCAAATTGAACTTAAATGGCAACTGGTTACTTACAGCATCTCGCGATCACCTTTGCAAACTCTTTGATATTCGAAATCTAAAAGAAGAGCTTCAGGTCTTCAGGGGCCATAAGAAGGAAGCCACAGGTTACTATTACCTTCTGTTAACTTTCTGAGCTTTGGTTTAGACATCCTGGAGCTGCTATGGAATTCCAATTTCTGTTATGCCTAGTGCATACAAAACGCAGCTGATGTCATGACCTTTGCATTAATCATTTTACATTTGAGTAGTGTTAAAGCAGTTATTTCATCCTGCTAAAAATCTAAATGGTTATTTGCTATCTCATCTTAAAGCAGCTAGCATTATTCAAGATTTTTTGCTTTGCTGTTTTGAATTCTCTCGTGAGGTTTCTTTATGTCCTCTAATAATATCTACTCTGTTTTCAAGCATGCATTTTTCTCTACTGTGTTATGCTACTTTGCTTTTCACTTCCAGATTCTGTGGACTCTATATCCTCCCTTTTAGATTCTCAATATGTTTTTGATCAAAGCTAAGGACCACTTCTCTGTATGCAGCAAGGGAGATATTCTATACTGGGTTATGTCAGCAACATGAAGAAATATCGTCTAGACCAGGCATGTGAAAACCAAGGCTCGGGGGCCGTATGTGGCCCCCTGGGCACTTACCTCAGGCCCTCCACATTTTCCCTGTCCTCTTGGCATAAGGTTACGACAGCTCACTGCATCCTTATGCCAAAAAGATGGGGAGGAAGGCACGCAGCAACTGAGCGCCCTGGAGCACTCTCAGCCACCACATGTCTTGCTCTCCTCCCAGCGTAAGGATGGTGTGAGCGGCCCCATCCGTCTGCCGAGAGGACCGCTCAAGGAAAGCATATGGCAGCTGAGAGCCCACTGGAGCACTCTCAGTCACTACCTGTCTTTCCTGCCTCCTGGCAGAATGCCAAGAGGACAGCTCAAGGATCGAGGGAGGAGGACTGAGGCAGTTTCCCCATGTCTTGCCTTCTTCCCGGCACAAGGATGGGGCAAACAGCCCTTCCTTATGCTGGGAGGACAAACTGAATATGATCCAGGTCCTGCCCCCTCCTGTCCTTGCCCTCTCCCTAAGCTCTATCCCTTGCAGGCCTGCCCAGTCCAGCATGCAAATGGCCTCCCGGCCACCCAGCCAGCCTGGCCCTCTCAGCCAGGCCTGCAATGCAGCCCCAAGGCAAAAAAGTTTGTCCATGCCTGGTTTTTAGTTCTTTTGTCTTCCCAGGTGCTTTATTTGTCAGTGTTAGTATCCTAAGTTCCTCCTATTTAAAGGAGTGAAGTCAGCTCCTCCTTACTATCCTCTGGCTCTTGACTGTTCTCTGTGTGAACTATTTACTCCTCTGCATTCATTTCCGTCTCCCCCAAATCCTTCCACAAAGACCCCAGAGCATACATTTTCACCAGTTCCTCTTCTAGATTGCCAGTGATGCCTATGTTTCACTGTTCAACTGGTGAATATGATTTTAATTCCTCCCATTCTCTGTCTCATTTGAATCTCTGTTGTCTCTAGGCAAATACTGACACACATGTGTCTTGGCATGTCTTTTTCACTATTGGTAAAATCTAAAAATATAAAAGCATTGTATTTTCTTTTACTTTATAGCTGTAGCCTGGCATCCTGTTCATGAAGGCCTTTTTGCCAGTGGAGGATCTGATGGCTCTTTACTTTTCTGGCATGTTGGGTAGGTAATGTGGTCCTTAGTCTGAAGAGCAATGGCAGCTGAGAAATTTAGTATCTTTCAATACCATTTCTTCAGTGGATACATCTCTTGGGATAGCTTTTCAGTGTAATCTTTAGGAAATATGAGTTAATCTTTGTGTAATTAGTTAGATAAGATCTTGATGCTCTTAGTAAGTATTTCTACTTGATAATACATAGACACGTATGGAAAGAATGTACCCTTTAGTCCCTGTTGTATATCACTGTCTAGCTGTCCTCAGGTGTTCTCCACGAAGTTAATCTAATTCTAAAATGTGCTTGAACATTTTTATACAAATCAAACAAATGAAATGCAGGTGCCTGCTGGAGAATCCTCAGTAAGAATATAAACATCCTCAGTAGGACTATAAACGTTGAGCAGTAGAAAAGCAAATGGGGTTTAGTACCTGATCTGTATTCTCTTGATAAAGTACTTTCATAATGTTTTCCACAGGGTGGAAAAGGAAGTAGGAGGTATGGAAATGGCCCATGAAGGAATGATCTGGAGTTTGGCTTGGCATCCTCTAGGACATATTCTGTGCTCAGGATCAAATGATCACACCAGGTATTTGGACTAGATCCCGTGTCCCAAAAGCATTCTGTTTGACGATAATATCCCTATTTTATTTATTTTGGTTTTTCCTCAGTATACACATGTATGCACACACTTGCAGAAAGGAAAACATATTTGTCTTCTTCAGTTATATAATAAAATGGTAGGCTACCTTTCACTTATACATCAGTACCACAATCATGTGACAGTAGCAACTCATGGCAATGTATTTGTCTATGGATGAACAAATAAACTGAATCCAAATTAAATATAATTTATTACAGTATTTATGTGTATTTATTACTAAATATACAGTGTATATTTATTAAGGGCCCCTGGTGGCACAGCCGGTTAAACTGCTGAGCTGCTGAACTTGCTGACCAACAGGTTGGCGGTTTGAATCCAGGGAGCAGGGTGATCATCTGCTGTTAGCCCCAGCTTCTGCCAACCTAGCAGTTCGAAAACATGCAAATTTGAGTAGATCAATAGGTACCCCTTCTACTGGAAGGTAATGGCGCTCCATGCAGTCATGTGGCCACATGAACTTGGAGGTCTATGGAAAACGCCGGCTCTTCGGCTTAGAAATGGAGATGAGCACCACTCTTTCAGAGTGGGACATGACTAGACTTAATGTCAGGGGAAACCTTTACTTACTTTACAGTGTTATTCTGTTGGCACATTTCTGCCATAACAAGTTCACAATATAACAGGACATCCACTGAATTGAAAGACTGTGGATAACAGTCCTACAGATAAATGTGGAGAAGCTGTAGTTTGGAGACAGATGGGATGTTTAAGAAAAGCAAATAATGCCATCTATATTTGTTGTATAATAAACGTAGAGGTTCTCAACATATTCTCGACAAGGTTAATAGAACCACACAGTAACTTTTTCTGAAATTGTAACATTATTTTGATCATTTATGTTAATAGCAAATTAAGTAGTTCTAATATTTCTTCGAACTACTTAATTTCTTTACATTACTTGTATTGTAGAACTTTGCTTAGCAGGTCATTTTAAACAAACTCTGTTTATTATAGTCTTCTGCTGGATTATTTTTACCTGCTAATAATTTGCATAACCAAGGGTCAAATATACATCTTTTAATAAATATATTTCTGTGACAAAATTAAATTTAGTTATAACTGTTGAGACTTGAATGTCTTGCAATAAATATTTTGATATAATAATAGTTTCCATCTTGTGGATATTCAAATTGTGTATCACTTATATGAGGCTTCATAACCTGGTCTCCGTCATAGTCAAGTACTGAAACCACTATACCACATTGGCTTTCAAGAGAGATGAAAAGTAATTGCCATTTTGACTTGAAGTGATCCACTAGAACACAAAGAGAATGAGGGACTTGAAATTAACAGTTATTAAGAGGGGCTACCTCTAAGAGAAGAAGGTTTACCCTATAAATCAACAAAGGATACTATCTCTTAGTTTTATTTTGACAGCAAATTCTGGACTCGGAATCGTCCTGGAGATAAAATGCGAGATCGTTATAACTTGAACCTGCTTCCAGGAATGTCAGAAGATGGGGTAGAATATGGTATTTTTTAATTTATTACCTTTGTAACGTCTTTTTTTATTGAGAAGCTCAAGTTTAAAAAATCTTCCTGGACACTTTATGCCATCATAACAATTATGTGGTGCAGGTTAGGCTGTGAGATGATGACTGGCCCAAAGACATACATTGAGTTTTATGGCTTGAACCTAGTCCTCCTCAATCTTAATCTAGCCCTCTGGCCTGAATTTCATAACCACTTGTAATAATGATAAAAGAAGATCTCACCAAAGAGGCAGCAAAAATTTAAATGATCTGAAAAGTACTGAATCGTAAAACCTTTGCTCCTAAAATATTTTTCATTATTTTGTTCCTTACGCTACCTTTTCATGTAGTTCAACACAGATTAGGAATCATGATTATGCTATTTCAATTCGAATCAGCAGTTGTACCATTAAGTGCAAGTCTAGCTGTTGGTCCCAGCTAGAAAAAAATCCATTAGAACAATTGAATTTGGAAAATTAACATTCATATACATTCCATTAATTCAGTTGGCCTCCTATTAATTGGGATAAGCAGTTGGATTTAGTCCTTTAAGTTTTTTTCATTTTTATTTTTCTCTCTGCCACAATCCAGCCAATAAGAAAAATGATATTTTCCTTACTCTGTGTCTCAACTGGAACCGGGATTTTAAGTTCTTGCATCTTAGTAAAGGAGTAAAGTATGAAACAATTGATATTAACATTGTGGCAATTAAATATCACCAAAGTAAATTCAGTTGAAACTTAGCAGCCCACCTACACAGGCCGGATGAGTTGGTTATAGAATGAATGGACTCTGTGGTGTTCTCATGATGCACGAGGCCCATTCACTTATTATTGTGGCCTTGTCCCTCATTTTACAAAGTTGTGGGATGATCCAAAGCTTCTCTGAAGATCCAGAGCCGGTTCGTATTTTGGGAAGAGGTTGCAGCTGTTTACACTGCCATCACACTTTCCCTGCCCTTGGGAGCCTGGGAACAGGGGTTGCAACTACCATGCCCTCGTTTGTTTGTTTGTTTTTTTGGGGTTTTTTTTGTGGTGCCCACCAGGCATGGAAATGGCAGTGTTCATTGCTCTGCACCTGGAGTGATACTAACCGGAATTGGGAGGTGATCAGAGAAGGGAGAGATGGAAGGAGGGGTTGATTCCCCCCTTTGCATTTCCCCTCTCTAACATCATTTCATAGCTATCATCATCACAGGCACCAAGTAGTGACTAGCACCATTTTAATTCCCATTGGGCAGTGCAAAGCCCAGAATGATGGGGGCAAGATAAGGGTGGCAGTCCAGAGGCACTGAATAGGTTCCGGTTCCCCTGGGCCAGCTCAGCAGCATACAGTGTGGACATTGCCTGCATATCATTGTCTAGATATGCAGACAATGGCGACGCTGATCCGAAGTACCCCACTCTGGATCAGCACCTCTGTTTCTGACTCTCTAGATACTCTTTAGGATACACTGGATATGTTGCTAATATCAGTTCATTTTCCCTTTGGTAGATGACCTTGAACCCAATAGTCTTGCAGTGATTCCAGGGATGGGAATACCTGAACAATTGAAACTAGCCATGGAACAAGAACAGATGGGTAAGAAAGAAACTATGACTACATTGTTATGGATACACTCCTGGGAATAAGGCCCTTAAACACCATAGGACTTACTCTTGAGTTATCAATAAGATTATATTTGAAAGTTAATTTTAATCTGTCCTGAAAGTATTGACCAGGTCCTTCCTTTTGTCTTGATAAGCATGAGATATACACTAAACACAAATTTCCAAAATCCAGGATTTACCCACTCATAATATCTCCATAATATCTCAAGAATCAGTGTCAAGAGTTTATTGTCTCATCACCCCATTTCCAGATTCACTTCACCCACAACTTTGCTTGGTGCAGTGGATAATGACAATTAGAAGTAAATGTCATCATTGTTATTGATACTCCACTCAAGCTCACCTAATTCCCTCACCCAGCAATTTCATGTCTGTGTGCCAAATGGAATTGACTATTATTATCTTGTGTTGAAGGAAAAGATGAGACAACAGAAATTGAGATGACAATCCCAGGATTGGACTGGGGAATGGAGGAGGTGATGCAAAAGGACCAAAAGAAAGTACCACAAAAAAAGGTCCCCTATGCGAAACCAATCCCTGCTCAGTTTCAACAGGTTAGTAATTTTATATGGTGCCTTATTTTGTGATAAGTAGGAGGACTTCACTAAATTGATTTTTACAATTCTGAAATGTCTCAGTAATCAGTCCATAAATTATGGGGAGGATTCATGAAAGCATTTCTTCATTTGTGCAAATTGATCACAAAACCTGTGAAGCACAGCCTTGGCTGAATGCACTGAATGTACACTCGGTGGCCAACTACTGGTGTCAAGGAGTGGCTAAAAGCATAGCTCTATATTTTCTGAATCCTTTTTATTAGATAGTGCCAATTTGGCCTTGATAAAATCAGTTTGCATGGCCAAATGCAAATTATAGTACCATCCCCTCATGAATAGGGATTGGGCTGGTACCAAATATATTGACTATAACTGACCTAGAACAGTTCCATATTGCAAGGAAAGATTTTGTCTGATTTTAGTACCACATGTAATGTTTATTGTATATATATATTTATATATATATATTTGGTCAGGCCTGGATGCAGAATAAAGTTCCTATACCATCACCAAGTGAGCCACTGAATGACCGCAAGGAAGATCTTAAACTAGAAGAAAAAAAGAAGTCACAGGCAGAGATTGAGCAGGAAATGGCAGCACTTCAATACACCAACCCACAGCTTCTAGAGGTAAATAAAGCAAAGTAGCATCATTTTTATTTAAGAGCACTTCCTATGCAGAAGAAATGTAGAAAAGCAATAATGACATTGATGCGTTATATTGTAGTAGTACTAAAGATACAGACCATAATCAAGTTGTTAATCACAATTAAAATAAGTCCTACTGAATCACTAGTAAAAATAATATTTTTTTAAAACTTTATTTATATTCTGCCTTATCTCCCCGAGGGGAGATAATAACTTGGTAAGTGAACACTTAAGTACATTCCATTGATTCAGATGCTGAATACAGTCCATGATAAATGGAACATCTGATTTACGTAATGTTTTGATGTTAGGTGATGCAGGTTTGCTACTGAAGTTAAAAGGGTCAGCCCTGAACACTGCTTGGATGAAAGACTGTTTGGAAACCTGAACCTAACCACCAAATCCTTCATCATTTTGTGTCAGTTAAAATAATTATATATAAAATAATTATAATTATATAACTGTACAGTTTCGGGAGTGATCCTGGACTCATCGCTGAGCCTGGAACCCCAGGTSTCGGCGGTGGCCAGGAGAGCTTTTGCACAATTAAAGCTTGTGCGCCAGCTGCRCCCGTTCCTTGGGAAGTCTGACTTGTCCACGGTGGTCAACACTCTGGTTACATCCCGAATAGACTACTGCAATGCTCTCTACATGGGGCTGCCTTTGAAAACTTCTCGGAAGCTCCAATTAGTCCAGCAGTCGGCAGCCAAGTTGTTRACTTGAGCTGCGTACAGGGAGCGTACCACTCCTCTGATGTGCCAGCTCCACTGGCTGCTGATTAGCTTCCGGGCACAATTCAAAGTGCTGGTTTTAACCTTTAAAGTCYTGAACGGTTCTGGCCCAGATTACCTGTCCGAACGTATCTCCTGCTCTGAACCATCACGAAGCTTAAGATCATCAGGAGAGGCCCTGCTCTCGATCCCACCACTCTTGCAAATGCAGTTGGTGGGGATGAGAGACAGGGCCTTCTCGGCGGTGCCCCCCCCCCCGGTCTGTGGAACTCTCTCCCTAAGGATATCAGGTTGGCCACCTCCCTCCTGTCCTTTAGAAGACAACTGAAGACCTGGCTCTGGGGCCAGGTGTTCGATTAGAGGCCAGCAGCAATAGGAAAAGGAAATTTGGATTTTGTGACATGGATTCTCCTGGCTCGACTTGGTTTTTACTGGAACGTTAATCTATTAATTTATTGTTAAATTTTCCTGATGATGTACAATGTTTTAAAATGATTTTATTGTGAATTGTAATTTTTATGGTATTTATGCTGTTAGCATCCTCTGATGCTCATGTGAGGCCGCACTGAGTCCGCCTTGTGGGGAGAAGGGCGGGATATAAATATTTAAAATAAATACATAACTAAATACAGAAATATTATACAAGAGGAACATCCCTTATCTGAAATGGTTCAGGCCAGAGGTGTTCCATATGTTGGATTTTTTTTTCCAGATTTTGGAATATATAATGAGCCATCTTGAAGATGTGACTCAAGTCTAAAAACAAAATTCATTTATGTTTTATATACACCTTATATACATAGCCTGAATGGAATGTCTGTACAATATTCTTAATAACTTTCTACATGAAATAAATTTGGTATACAATGAACCATTGGAAAGCAAAGGTGTCCCTATCTCAGCCACCATTGTGGCTAAATTTGTAGTATTTCGGAATTCCAAATAAGGGATGCGCAACCTGTACTTCAATTTCTAAGAATTATGGTATGCATGCCAACACCTTTCCTTTATCCCTGGTAAAAAACATGAAAGTTATGCAGGAATTCTATACCATTTTTGTAACATTTTCCTTCTTGCTTCCCTTAATACATTATACTTGGCATGGTTGTGAACAAAGAGGGGTGTTTAATCATATGATATGGGAATGTGATAGAGTGCAAGAATACGGGAGAATGATTGAAGGAGTAATCAATAGAATGTTAAATTTACAAATAGTAATAGTTAATAGGAATGTACTACATGCACGGATAACAGAAGTGAAGAATATATAAAAAGAAAAATTGGTTGACAAATTTATAGTGGGTGCACAAATTGTTTTAGTGAGGGGTTGGAAAGATAAAACAAAATGGACATTGACTAACTGGTATAACTATATAGTTAATATGTTAAATGTGGAAATAACAAATTGCAAATGGAGTAATATAGATAAAATTGAAAAGGTTACAATAACTAAGAGGATGTGGGAACCAGTTAGGAATTATTTAGAGACTGTGCTAAGATGTGGAGTAGAAAAATTAAGACTGAGACTGATATTTCAAATGTAACTTCTGTAGTTTGCTGTATAAATTGCATGTACAAGGAGGGGAGGGTGGGAGTGGAATAAAACAATAAAACATCAATAATGTTTTTTAAAAAAAGGATTTATGGTGTGCATATGTAAATTGTTTTGTTTTTTCCCAATAGCAATTAAAAATAGAGAGGCTTGCACAGAAGCAAGTAGATCAAAGCCAACCACAACCACCTCCAGGAGGACCTGTTCATGGACCCCAGCATTTCCCAGGACAACCCCCGATGTCTCAGGTGCCTCAAGGCTTTCAGCAGCCTCATCCGCCCCAGCAGATGCCAATGAATATGCCTCAGATGGGACCACCTGGGCCACAGGGACAGTTCAGACCTCCAGGACCTCAAGGACAAATGGGGCCTCAAGGGCAAATGGGGCCACAAGGGCAAATGGGGCCTCAAGGACAAATGGGGCCTCAAGGGCAAATGGGGCCTCAAGGGCAAATGGGGCCTCAAGGTCCTCCTTTGCACCAAGGAGGTGGTGGACCACAAGGGTTTGTAGGCCCTCAAGGCCCTCCACAAGGACTGCCAAGGCCTCAAGAAATCCATGGACATCAAGGAATGCAGAGACTTCCTGGCCCTCATGGACCAATGGGCCCTCCAGGGCTGCCTGGTCCACAGGGTAATTCTGGACCTCAAGGTCACTTAGGCCCACAAGGGCCGCCTGGCCCTCAAGGACATTTAGGTCAGCAAGGTCCACCAGCACCACCAGGACACCTGGGTCCTCAGGGGCCACCTGGTGGTCAGGGGCCACCCGGTCCAAGGGGACTACAAGGACCTCATGGAGTACAAGGAGCACAAGGGATGCAGGGTCCTGTATCTCAAGGGCCCTTGATGGGACTTAATCCAAGAGGCATGCAGGGACCTCCAGGACCACGGGAGAACCAAGGACCTGGTCCACAAGGGATGATGATAGGCCATCCTCCACAAGAAATAAGAGGACCTCATGGTTTACTGGGACATGGACCCCAGGAGATGAGGGGTCCTCCACCTCAGGGTTCAATGATGGGACCTCCACAGGAATTGCGTGGGCCACCAGGTGCACAAGGACAGCAGGGACCTCCACAAAGTAACATGGCAGCGCCTCAAGGAAACATGCAAGGTCCACCTCAAGGGCCTCAAGGACAGCAGAACCCTTCAAGGGGGCCACATCCCTCCCAGACCCCCCCACCTTTCCAACAGCAGAAAACTCCCTTGCTTGGTGATGGTCCTCGACCCCCATTCAGTCCGGTATGTCTGTATAATATCTTGTTGGGAATAACTTAATAGAATTAAAAATGTGCAGTAAATGAGTGTTGGCAAATTATAACTCGACAGCTGTAATTTTAATTATTTTAATTCCACATAGAATTTGGGCTGTATAAGCTATGCTTAATATATGGGTTTAATGACATGCTGTCAGAATAAAATACTGTATATAGGAATCCTAGTGGCGTGAATTTAAGTGGTATGGGTTTCTTGGTTCCTTGAAGCTTTGGACCTTTGGTCCAAATTCTTATTTTCATGTTTACTTTACATTTTGAGGGCTTGGTGGTTTAGTAGACAAAGCCCAGACAACCTATTTTTGCAGGAAGACCAGAAGAGGAATTGTTAAAAGCATAGAGAATTGCTGTTCATGAACCACCTTTCTCCTTTAAATTTAGGTGCTTGCCTCCCATCCACCTTATCTTAGTTAAGTTTTTTAATGTGACTTTCGATCTATATCCAGTTGTTAGTTCCAGCTTGACTAGATCCACGGAAACATGCTAAGTCAACACTTACGCAAATTTCCTTGTTTCTGTGGTTCTATTCTTCTTGGGATTGAAAATTAGGCTTAGACTTTTGAAGCTGGAAGTGGACTGAAGTGGACTGGCAGCCACTTTAGGACTTACTGAGAGTAATTGGTATGGTTTGGTGAAAGCTAGACAGTTTGTCCCTGGACCCCCAGCAGTCCCCATGCCTGATATAAATTATCCGTACTTAAAAAGAATAGAATTGAGTTGTAGCAACCTAGAAAGATGTTAAAGTAGATAAACAAAACACCATCTTGCTTTTTATGGTTGGGGAAGTATCACTTTACAAAAGTGAAGAGAAGTACAAGGAGAATCTATTAAGAAAAACCCAAGGCAGCCCTTGCTGCATAACCCTTTTCAAAATATAGTGTTTGCAAGAGTACCACCTGTGGTTAACTGCATTGGTCTGGAATCTTTCTCACTAATATTCATTTCCACTATAAGTAATTCTGACTGAATTTTTCTTCTGTTAAATAAGAAGTAGTATTCATGAAGATAGATAAATATCTGAAAAGTGGGAAAATCACATTATTTGGTGGAATATTTTAAGATGTAGTCATTTCATTTTTCCAAGATAACTCACCCATTTGTCAGTCCAAAATCTCTAGTGCTGAGAAGAAGAAAAATCAAATATATTGTATGTTCTTACATTTGCTTTGTTATATTCTAGTTGTGAGTAAGCCAGGTATGGAAATCATGCAGCTCTCCAAATATTTTAGAATGCAACCCCAAGCATTTCTAATCATTGCTTTGTTTGTACGATCCATGGGGGGTAGCGGGGTGGCAACATCTGTAGGGCTGCACTTCACCCTTGCCAGGTGTAAAATGGGACCTGCAATTTCTTTAAAAAAATGTTTTTCTACTTCTGACTATGATTTAGAAGATGGAATTTTGACAGTTGTCTGTGGAAAGCTATAACTGTTTACATGCCACTGTTAACAGATACAGGATTTTTTTCTTTGCATCTGGCTACTCTGCAGTTCTCTTTGTGTACTTTTCTCTTAGATAGGAAGGATAAAATATCAAACCCAAATTAACAGATGTTTAAGACTTTTTATCTTTTAAGACTTTACTTTGGCTTGTTTTAGTTTGGTTAGAACTATGCATACCATCAGAGAAGTAAATGTCGTGGAAATATATGTATGTAAGCAGTGCAAAGTAGTAATACTTATTCTGGTTCCACAGCAATAGTTCTTTCTTGGCTGGATTTACCTTTTGTCAGTTATAGCAGACCTAATTTTGATGTTTCATTAATTTTTAGGAAGGACAAAATTCAGGGCCCCCACCTTTGATACCAGGATTGGGGCAGCATGGAGGTCCAGGTCGTCATGCCTCTCACAACCAAGGACCTGGCCCTAATAAAGGTAACTTTAACATCCTGTTAGTTAGTATAAGAAATATAAATTCACTGTATTGACTGGTGATTAAGAGATGAAAGGTTTATTCAAAGAACAACCATTTGGCAATTAACTCACCATTTTAGTGGAAACTACTCACAAAACACTTAGGAAATATAAAACACAAGGAACAGATGGCACAGATTTTTTAAGATTACACAGAAAGGATTCATCCAAATTCCAACAACCTAATAGAGGCACACAGGTTGGATGTGCTCAAAATATATTCCATTTCCCAAGAAAGGGGACATCATTTAACCATTGCATTAATCTCCAACGGAAGCAAAGTAGTGCTTAAAATTTCTACCATATATGGAGTGAGAAATTAAGCCACTTTGAGTCTCCTTTGTGGGGAGAAAAAGTGGGTAATAATAATAATAATAATAATAATATTGTTTCCAATTGGCATTGGGTCAGGCAAGGCTGCATTTTTATCCTGTTTTACATATAAAGCAGAATTAGACTTAGAGGAAGGAGGTGAGAAAATTGTAGGAAATAACACCAGCAATTTAAGATATGCAAGGGACACTATATTACTAGCAGAAAACAGCAGACTTGGAATGATTAATGAAGAAAGTCAAGGAAAATACTGCAAAGGTACACTTGATCATTGAAATAGTTAAAAGGTTTCAAGCATAAGCTTATGTTCTTCTCATATTCTTTAGTGTACACATTATTAAATGCATGCTTGCAATATTTATCTCTAGCACCTCTTCGTTTCCTGACTACAGCTTGACATTTGGCATTTCTCGCTCCCTGTATGGTCAAAATCTATATTATAGAATTGGATTTAATACTGTATTGCAAATCTGGTTTTTTTAACATTATCTTTAAAATCTATGGGAATGTTTTTTAGATTATATTTTGGCATAATTGTTGATTTGCCGTTCTTCTTTAGTTTTACTCTGATTTTAAATATTTTAATAGCAATTATTCCATGTATGCCACAATCCGTTCCTTGTCTTGTTTTGTAGAGAGGATGGAGTGTCTCTGTCTTCTATTTTCAATTGTGAATTCTATTTGATTCTCTATTGTCTGTAAGATGTCAGTATATACAGTCATCTCTTTGGTTGCTTGAAGCGTATGTTTGTAATGAACAAACTGTTCTCCTTGCAGAGTTCAATCAATCTGTTTCCTGCTTCATTTCTTGATCCTAGGCCAAATGTTCCTACAACCTTTGATTCTGATTTTGTTTCATGCTTTTGCATTCCAACAAGTTTTCTGTTTTTCTGCCTCTGTAATTGGAACATAAACTTGGATTATGGTATACTTGGGAATCCTATTGATATTGTGTTGTGTCAAAGGGTTTCATGGCCGGAATCACTGGGTTGCTGTGAGTTTTTTGAGCTGTATAGCCATGTTCCAGAAGCATTCTGTCCAGCTGTTTCGCCCACATCTATGGCAGGCATCCTCAGAGGTTGTGAGACCACACTACTTCTAAGTATGCCTGTCATAGATGTGGGAGAAACATCAGGAGAGAATGCTTCTGGAACATGGCCATATAGCCCGGAAAACTCACAGCAATCCATTAATATTATTCCCCTAGACTTTACATTATATCCTTTGGCTGCTTTTAATACATCTAACTATTAATGCTACTCCATTTCCTCTAAGATCTTCTTTTTCCAAGTAAAACACTGTTTTATTATCTGACTCAAAATATTCCATTCCTGTCTACTTTAACTCTTTTACTCCAAGTATTGCAATATTTATACATTCCATTTCTTGTTTTAATATAGCTTCCTCTGATTCATACTTTTGACATTCCATGTTCATGTAAATATGTGATGTACAGCATCAACCAAAACTTTCACCTCTGAGCACATCCTTTGGGTTAAGTACAGTTGCATTATTAACCACAGTGCTACATGTAGTTGTCCTCTGCTGTAGCCTTAGTAACTCAATTGAGTGCCCTTTGACTTTATCTTCTGGTACTGTACCTTGTTTCCTTTTGAATAATACAATTATGAGACTTCCGTGATGCTTTGGAACTTGATTTCCAGAAATACAGGGCTTTTTATTAATAGCAAAAATCCAATTTATGGCAACCTTAGGGCAAATCTCTTAGAGGGTTTTCTTTTGCAAGCTTTATTCTGGGGGAAGTTATCCTTTCCTTCCTCTCAGATTGACAGATTGACAGATACCCAAGGTCACACAGTGGGTTTCCATGTCTAAGTGAATATTCAGACTCTGATCTCCAGAGTCCTAATACAGCACTCAAACCACTAGACATTGGCTGTCAATCCCCATGACCACAGATACCTTTTCTATTAAATATATAGAATTTTATTTTATTTTATTGTGAATGATGTTGATTGGGGAGCTGGTTTCTGTAGCTTCCTGTAACAATTAAGGCTATGATTTTTTTGAAAGAATCAAATTTTGCCTAATTTCTCCTATATCGTCAAAATTAATTATTCAAAGTGAAGGACTTCTAAAGGGCCAAATACTTCCAAATTGTAATGATACCCACTCATATACTTGTCTTATTCTGTGGTTATTCAGAAGATTAAAGCAATTTGTTTTCAAATATGCATAAAAGAGCTAATTAAAATTTCAAATTTCACACAAAGGAGGGAAGTAAACACATTTGAAGAACAAAGAACAATTAAAAGAGAAATGTGTTTTATGTAGATTTTGCTCCATACAGATTTTTTATAACGGAATATCCTTAATCAAGAAGACATTTATTTAAAAACCTTTCTAAAAGATTACAAGTGACTTGCGTTTGACCATTGAATAGCGGCTTGTATGAAGAAGACATAAGCAATTTCGAGGTGACAATGAATTGACCCAGACCCGGATTTTAATTGGCGTGTTTTAACAACTGTTTATTTAATGTTTTGTTTTAATGAATTTGTTGATTGTTTTTATCATTATGATGGCACCGAATGGTGTTTACTGTGAGGCTGCCCTGAGTTCCCCCTCAGGGTGAGAAGGGCAGGTTACAAGTATATTAAATAAATAAATAAAATAAGTAGCCTGTGTTTTAATACTGTGCATTATGGAAAGCTCGTGAACCTAGGGATATTTGTTTTCTTTGGCCCATAAGATATAGTTAGTTCTCGATATATGTGCATCTTCTGAGCATTTTGGGTTACTGCAGATCCACAAATTGTTTGCCTTGAACAACTGTTCCTTTTAAAGGAAAACGAAGCTTGAGTATTGGGGCATTGTTTTAAACATTTCATTGTTAAGTATACAGGCTCATTTCCTTTATCTTAAGGTGAATCACGTGGTCCACCCAACCATCATATGGGCCCCCTCTCAGAAAGGAGACATGACCAGAACAGTGGTGGCCCAGATCTTGGACCTGAGAGGGGGCCCTTCCGAGGGGGCCAAGAATGGGGTGAAAACAGAGAGAACAGGGGAATGCCAGACAGACGGGGACCTCATCCAGACTTCCATGATGACTTTGACCGGCCAGATGAGTTTCATGAAGACTTCCATCCAGAGAAGCGATATAGCCACCGCTTACGTGAATTTGAAGGACGGGGAGGCCCGCCCCAAGAAGAGAAATGGAGACGAGGTGGCCCGGGCCCTTCTTTCCCTCCCGATAATAGGGAATTCAGTGAAGGAGATGGCAGGGGCGCAAATCGAGGACCTCCTGGTTCTTGGGATGGACGGAGACCTTCAGACGAACGATTTCCTCATGATCCTGAAGAGGCACGGTATCGCGGAAGAAGAGATGAAAAGTATGCATAATTTACTATTGTTATTTAAAATTGACTGATACAGTTCTCTCCTTTTTCATATTATATGCGTATTCTCAACAATCTTTAAATAAATGAATTCATACTTCTTAATGAAATCAGACATTATGTACATTATCCAAAAAAAGTGAAGCCCTGCAGCAGAAGAAAGTGGGGAATTCTTAACCTGTAATTTATGGACCCCTAGGAGGTTCATAGATTTTTTTCATGTCAGGAGCAACTTGAGAAACTGCAAGTCGCTTCTGATGTGAGAGAATTGGCCATCTGCAATGACATTGCCCAGGGAACGCCCCGATGTTTTACCATCCTGCGGAAGGCTTTTCTCGTGTCCCCACATGAGAAACTGGAGCTGACCGGTGGGAGTTTGCTCCGCTCCCTGGATTCAAAACACCAACCTTTCAGTCAGCTGTCCTGTCAGCACAAGGGTTTAACCCATTGTGCCACTGGGGGATAGTGACTGACAGAAAAGTCATTTCTCCCACTTCTATTTCTTGCCTGTTGATTTTAAAATGTTGCTCCCTTCATTAATCTGTGGGAAGTACCAATTAGTTTTAATCAGATTGTTTGATTATATAAAGGATTCAGTACTCAAAATTAACCACTTAAAAGAAACAGTGTTTTTCCTCATAGACATCAAATACAAGACCAGCAAAATTTTGAATTAAGGTGTGCTGCTTCAGTCTCGTACATGAACTGTAGTGTATTTAAACAAAAACTATATTGATAAAAAGGGTGGTTTCAGCATGATTTTTGATACTGTCAAAAGCAGTTGTTCTTGATGTTTTGGCCTTCAGCTACCAGAAATCCTAACAGCTGGTAAACTGGCTGGGATTTTTGGGAGTTGTCAGCCAAAACACCTGAGGACCCACAGATTGAGAACCACTGGTCTAAAGAAACACAGTTTTGTCAGGCAGAATTGAAATAGATGCCAGTCCTTTGTATTGGGATTAATATACTTTTTGTAGGAAAACCAGTTTGAGTCCCTATACTAGAAAGCAAGATAAAAATAAATAATGAAATAATATGATGGGGGAGCAGAACTTTTAAAAATAACTGTGTAATGTTGATGCTTATTTGACCATGTTCCAAGATAGTTGTAAATTCAGCTTTAAAATTACTGTGTTAACAGTAAAGAGGAACAAACTGACAAAACTATTGCCTTAAAAAGAAACCTATGAAATCCATAATGCCATTATGCATCTATAAGCAACTTGAACAGACATACACATACACGCAAAGAAATAGTAGGCATCTTGATGCCCTCCAAATGTTTTAGACAGTAGCTCCAGCTCATGTCCATTAGTCATGCTAGCGGGGTAACAACTGGAGAGCATCCAATAAACTAACCAGAGAAATGTGCTAGGGACACTTTGTCTCATGGGAAGGTGTAGTCCTCGTGATTAGCAATGCCTCATTGTTCGCTTTTTTGTTGCTCCATAAAGTCTTTCCCAACTCCAGCAATTGTTCACCTCAGTTATAAACTAAGGTAATCTCTTAGGAGTTTCTAGTTATGTGTGGCAGGGATAAATATAAACATGCAGTGTTCATAGTGGCATGGCTTTTACATGGATTACAAATAATGCTAATTACAAAGAGTTCTTTTTAAGGTTTCATTAGTCCCTTTATTTATAGGTAAATAAATTATGAAGTTTCATGCTCTTTTTAGAATCCTTAAAAAGATGCCCTAATTCAAGTTATCAGTATTTTAATTTATTGAAGTATGAATGCTCTATCTGTTGGAATCCAATCAGTTAAATGAAATATATTTAACTGGTTGAAAATACCACCTTCTGATTTCTGCCCAGCAGTAGAGAGTAATACACTCCCATACCAACAAGCACATACACTGTTTTATAAGTAGTAAAACTTCTTTAAAGGAGTTACATTTTTGATCGTATTCCTTGTCAATATGAAATTCTATATAGCACAAACATATATTTATATGGCTTCCCTTTGGTACAGCTTTAGGAGAGGCACATCTTCAAGACACGAGAGCCGAGGAAACAGGACAAGGGAAAATTTTTCTGGATCTGATGACTTTGTGCCAGAAGAAAATTTTGACTCAGCAGAGGAGAATTCAAGAGGAAGAGATCATGGTGGCCGGGGACGTGGTCGTGGTACACCAAGAGGCAAGGATGCTTTGTTGTATTCGGTTTTGGCCAGTTAAGAATAATTGTTGGAGTTCTTAAAACCTTTCGGTCAACATCTTCATTTACTTGAATTCTTTTTTTATATATAGGGGGACGAAAAGGTTTGCTTCCTACTCCAGATGAGTTTCCTCACTTCGAAGGAGGTCGAATGGATGGAAATCGAGAACCAGGTGGAAATATTTTTTCCAAAATAGTGGGCTTAAAGGGAAGAGTTAAAACACTTGTGTCATCTTTCTTTCTTGCATATATTCATTTCTAACAAAACTCCGTACCTTGCATAAACTGGATTAAAACTGGCTTGTTCTTGAATATCTGAGTTCCATTATGGACTGTTTTAAACTGCTTCAAAAGTCTTCTCCAAATTATCCTTTCCCCTTTCAGTTCTCTGTGGAATGAGCCTACCAGCTATTTCCCATCAGTTTTGTGAGGATTTTACTAACAGTTTTTTTCATATCCATCCCGTTTTTTTTTTTTTTTTCCTCCTTCAAGCTTAAGTTGCCTCCATGCCCAGGCCACCTATCAAACTCTGAAAAAACTTGTTTTCATTCTGTTATCCTCTCGCAACCATCCTCCAGCACCTATAAATTGATGATCTTGCTTTAAGAGCTGTTTCTTTTCTAATCTCAGAAGTCTTATGCCCATATCATGTTTCCATGGGATTTCTAATCTTGAGTTTCAGCATGATAAAAGCAGAACAGACCATCTGTGCCACAGATTGAACAAAAAGCAGGATGCCCTAGTCAGTGTTTTTATCCATAAATTAGTTTAGCGTTTTTAATTTATTTTGTTGTGAATTGGAAAAACTAAAAACAGCAAGGAAGACATCTAATTTAAAATCCATTATTACATAATGTTTCTATTAAAGGTGTTGACAAAATGACTGTTAATAAGGAATCACATGATTCCGTCACAGTGGGTTAAACTGCTGAGCTGCTGAATTTGCTGACCGAAAGGTTGGTGGTTCGAATCCGGGGAGCGAGGGGAGCCCCCGCTGTTAGGCCCAGTAGATCAGTAGGTTCAGCTTCTGCAGGAATGTAACAACACTCTATGCAGTCATGGCGGCCACATGATCTTGGAGGTGTCTATGGACAACGCTGGCTCTTCAGCTTAGAAATGGAGATGAGCACCACCCCCACCCTCCCGAGTTGGGCACGACTAGACTTAATGTCAGGGGAAACCTTTATCTTTACCTACATGGGTAGGCTAAATTTGTAGCTTGATCTCTTCTTAATTAGGTCCCCGACAAGATCATCCTCCTCATGATGGTCACTCACCAGGCAGTCGAGAACGTTCTTCCTCGCTCCAGGGAATGGACATAGCCTCACTGCCACCTCGAAAGCGACTCTGGCATGATGGACCAGGAACTTCTGACCACAGAGAAATGGAAATGCAAGGAGGGCCTCCAGAGGAGAGACCAAAGGGTAAAACACAATTCCTTGATAATTGCTCCTTAGATAATTTTTCATTTTACATCAAAGTAAAAAACACCACATTCAAGAAAATTGAACACTTTTTATTGTATTAAACAAAGTATTATTTAATCTGCAATGCTTGTATAAACCTATCTTCCTTCAGAATGGAGGACCTGGTGGGCATGTTTAACTTGGGGGCGGGGGGGAGAAAAGTGGGTAAGATAGGCATCTTTAAACCCCTGGAGTAATGTCATGAGGAAGATGGAGTAAAGCTTGTTTTCAGATGCTTCAGATTAGAAAACAAAGCAGATTAGAAATCAAACTGTAAGAGAAGATATTCCAGCTAAACATGAGGAATAACTTTTTGACTATAAGAGTTATTTGGTAGTAGAACCAATGTGTTTTATAGAGCAGTGGACTTTCTTTGGAAGTCTTTAAATAGAGGTTGAATAGTCATTTTGCAGGAATGCTTTAGTTGTATTCCAGTAGCATAATAGTTTGGACTAGACAGCCCATAAAACTCATTTTCACTCAGCAAGCAGATTGGCCCTGCTCTGCAGTGTAGTCCATTATAGAGATTATACTCTTATTGGCAGTGGAATTTTGTGTGGTTTGCTGTCCAAAATATTACACTTACATTTTCTCATTTTCGTTGTCTTTGTGCTTTTATTCTAGGGCGTGGAAAGTCAGGACCTTCCCAAAGAATGTCAAAGTCTGGGAGATCTAGCTCTTTAGATGGAGAGCATCATGATGGATATCACAGAGAAGAATCCTTTGGGGGACCTCAAGGAGGCAATAATCCTCCCAGAGGAGGGAGGAGTGGAAGTAATTGGGGAAGAGGAAGTAACATGAACTCAAACCAGTCAAGGCGAGGAGGCTCTAGAGGTGGCGGAAGAGGTCGATAGAAAAGGTCATGACTGGGCAAAACCCAGTCTTTTGAGGACAGTATTTAAATACAGATGTTGCAGAATCATTGATGAAGTAATTCTGCTGTCCCACAAACTGGACTCTTAAATGGAGATAAATGAATGTGCATTAGTTCCTAAGAAGGTCTTTCAAAGATTAAATGCCAGCTAGTAATGCCATCACAGCTACCTTTATTTCTTTCTCCTTACCATCCCAATCCCTTGTCACTTCCCTTTCCAACATTGATATTTGAAGATAAAGCTGGAATTTTTTTTAGTGTTGTGAGACAAGGAGCACCTCCACAGATTTCAGTTCATGTCCAAAAGAACTTGTTTCTATATATGTACAGTTGTCAGGCAAAAGTTAAGTTGTTTTTGTATGAATACAGAATGCAATTTGTCCAAAAATTAACAAACGTGAGTGCTTGGTTTTGTGTACATGCTTTCACTAGAAAACCTTTTCTTCCTAAAACACTTGTGTGGTAATTTTCATGTAATATATACACAGCCAAATACCATAAGTCTCAAAACGGCTTAGAAGAAGAAAAAATAAGCCTCATAAGCTCAGTCTCATATTGAGCAGTTATGTGGATGAAAATCCTTTTTGCCCACGTTCATGGGAGCTCTTTTTCTTGCAGTAGCTATAGAGCCAGGAGACATACACCTCTTTGTTCTGGAAAACGATGGATAATATGAATTTCCACTGGAAGGTTGTGGACATATATAGGTTGCTAATTTAAGGTTTGATAAAGGTACCGCATCGAGTCGCCTGTTAAGGGCTGAAAAATGCGGTATAGAAATAAAGCAAATAAATAAATAATACTGTGAACAAGATTGTTCATAAAGATTGCATCATTGATTTACATACACACAAATACAATGAAGGGCCTCCATCCAACTACAGAAATTTTCATCAGCCCTAATGCAAACTGGGTTGCTGTAAGTTTTTTGGGTTGGATGGAGGCTATGTTCCAGAAGCATGCTCTCCTGATGTTTCACTTGCATTTATGCTTCTAGAACATGGCCATACAGTGCGAAAAACTTACAGCAACCCATGATTCCAGCCTTGAAAGCCTTTGACAATCTAACGCAAACTGTTCGAACAGTCTTTGTATTAGAGAGAATATTCACATTTGTGACATTTAGGATTCAGAAAAGTCCTTAACACTGTGATTTCTGAGACAGTAATTTAACGAGTCCATTTAAAATTACTTTAATTTGTATTGTCAGCAAAGTTCACATATGGCCAAGAAGGCAGTAGTTGGCTACAACTTAGTGCATTCCGCAGATTCAGGCAATGTGATTAAATTTAAAGACGTTTTAAAATACTGTGTCTGCTTTAATATCTTGTGATAAAATGATCGTAGTTGAGGTGTGTTTTCCAAAATTTCGATCTTGACAGTTTGGCTTTGCCCATCAGTATTTTGTACAACACAATTATGTCCCATGTTTTCTTGAAAGTAAGTCCCATTGTTCAGCAGGATTTACTGTTAGCTAAATGCTGTAGTGGTTTGAGAGCTGGACTATAACTTTGGAGACCAGGGTTTGTCTCCTTGCTTGTTCACAGAAACACTCCGGCTATCCTTGTGCAAGTCACACTCTCTTAGCCTCAGAGGAAGGCAAAGGCAAACTCCCTCTGAACAAATCTTGCTTCAAAAACCTAGTTTACTTTAGGGTCACCATAAGTCAGAAGTCAGGAACTTAAACAGCAACAATTGCACATATAATTGCAGCCTTAGTGATGTTCTAGACTGCCTAAATGGATGCTACGCCTTTGTGCAGAGAATGGGATACTAATGACCAGATGTAAAATTAGAGGATAGCTTGCACAGGGAAAATTATTATCTTAAATAAAGAACTTAGAGGTTTTTTTAGTATCAGCAATAAAATAGTGCAGGAAGCAAACTGTTTTGAATACTAAAAGCAGTACAATTCACCTGTTAGCATGTATTGAACAAATATTCAGACTCTTGCATTCAGATAAGGAAACTTGTCAAGACTAGAAAATCAGCTAGTTTTCACTACCTGTTAGTGCAATATAAAGTCACATTAGCTCAGATCCCACAAAAATGAAACAAAGCAGATTTGAAAATCCATTCTAAGAATATAAAGCTCTTTGTAAGAACCAAATTAAAAGTCTCAAAAGTTATCAATATATCAGTCAACAACCCAATTTTAAAAGTTAGTGTTATGTGGATAAAGCACAGTGATCCATAAGTATATTTCTAATATATTTTGTTTTATTGGTATGTGTTCTCCGTAACACAAATCAATTTAAAGCCAAATTCAACAGTTCTAACTACAGATTTCTCAATTCCTCTTTGGTGAATTTCAATATTAAAGCTGACCAAGCTTTAGAAGGAAATTCATTCCAAATATTCAAGAATTTTTTTTTTTGCTTCACATCTTGTTAATTTTTCAGATATACACCCTCACCGCAAGATAAAAAAAAAGCTCGACTTTTTCTGTATATATTCTCAAAGGAAGTTTTTTACAAGAAAGAAAATCCATAAAAACCCATTTCATATGTCAGTGTGGAGATAACATTGATCCTGAAAGTGAAGAGATCAAAATCTTGCTCAAATAATGTCTGATTGTTCTTTCAGAGAGCAAAGACCTATCACTACAACCACAATTCCATGGGAAATATCTCTAACAACCTGAAGCACCGGAGATGAATACATATCATAACATCTTTAGAGCCAAAATATAAGAAATTCTAGTCAGTATTAACCATGGTTATGTTTCCCTTAACTGCAGGAAAAGAGGAATAGGCAAAACAACTTTCACAGCTGCCCCCCAGTGTTGTTCACAATAAAGAAGAAACTAGTGTTGTTTCTGGATTGCCACTCAAACTTACAACATTAATGATGGTGTTTGAATTAAATTTTATTAAGGCCATAGATATGATAGGATTGAGAGAGAGAGATGATAAGTATATCATAGAATCCTAGAGTTGGAAGAGAGCGCTAAGGCCACCCAGTTCAACCACTTTCTGCCAGGCAGGAAGATTCCTTAGCTTCTTCTGAATTAATTCAATCATAATCACATTTAAATCAGTTCATCTTTTTTAACTGAGGTGTGCTTAATTTAAAAGGCCACAATACTGCAAGGTTTTTAAGATCACTTTGTCAAAGTATGCTTTTAAAAATCTCTTGGTTTATCTCAAACACTGTAAATCAAAGAAAAAAATAAGACAATTGTCTTACGCATTAGATTGCAGCAAACAACACAGTCCATTGGGCAGTGTTCTTAGTGCAGAGGGATGGTGATACGAGCTTAACATATCCTGACATAACCTAACATGCAGCCTAAAGCAGGAGCGAACAACTTGCAGTCCTTCTAGCACAAACAACTGCAAATAATATCAAGAATGGCAATCCAGTATTTGGAAAGCCACAAGTTGCTCACATTCCTGTGCATTTATTTGTAAATCACTGAATCATCACAATTTAGTTTAAATAAAAGTGTAAAGAACTGGGATGCCCATTTCCGCTTTGTTATCTATATCAATGGAGCTGAACTTGCTAACCAAAAGGTCACAGATTTGAATCTGGGGAGGGGGCATGAGCTTCCGCTGTTAGCCCCAGCTTCTGCCAACCCAGCAGTTCGAAAACATGCAAATGTGAGTAGATCAATAGGTACAGCTCTGGCAGGAAGGTAACGGCGCTCCATGCAGTCATGGCAGCCACATGATCTTGGAGATGTCTACAGACAATGCTGGTTCTTCGGCTTAGAAATAGAGATGAGCACCAATCCCCAGAGTCGGACACGACTGAACTTAATGTCAGGGGAAAACCTTTTCTATATCAAAGACACCATGAATAATAATGAAGACACATGAGGCTGCCTTAAAAGCTAGCTTCAAAGCTATCTGCCATATTAAATATATCAATAGCTCTCCTATATGTAAGTGGCTTTGTAGAGTGAAATTAACATACTATCACTCAACTGATAAAATAACCAGTGATTTCTGATAACCTTGATATATTTAACACATTGTACATTAATGTTACTAAACTGCAGGAGAGTCTTCAGTCTAATGCCATTCAGAGCCACACTCAGATGAAAGCTGAACAATTATGGCCTTCCAGTTGTTTGGGGATTATAAGTCAAAATTCCTCATTATTAGCTATGTTGGCAAGGGGTGATAGGAATTGTAATATTTACAGGAATTGTCCACATGTATGTTATGACAAACTTCATGCCCACAATTTATAGGGAAATCCCCAAAAACTGAACAAGTTTTAAATGTTTAGGCACAGCTTCTTCATATAGTTAGTGAGTTTCAAAATCTCAAAATGAGAGCATATACTATTATGGAATAATTTGGTTTGGTATCTATAATGTGCATATCTTGGAATTCAGACTGCATTAACTTTTGTAGTTGAGACAACTTTTGAATGTTGTTATACATAAAAGCCACTGCCTAAAAAGGATATGTTGAGTGAGAAATCAAGACGTCTGATAAGTCTGTTCTGGATAAAGAAAATACTTTTGTTTCAGTGCTGTTCAGTAAGGCAGTACAAGTAGTCAGGAATGTTAGGGCTGAATAGAAATTAATCACAATTGTTGGAAAGGAGAAATGACCCTGCACTGGCTCAGAAAATGCTGGAAATACCTTAACCAATAATTTGCCCCCTTTAAAAATGTTTAAAAGAGGAACTGCTAGAATTTTCCCAGAGCAACTTCTAGCATATTCAAAATAGATCCCATTGCTGGCAACACTCATCAAAGCAGCCTCCATCAAAACTGTTACTGTCCGATACTGGAAGCATAACTAGGTAGCTGGAACACTTTGATTTTTAATTATTTCCACAAACCACTGGATAAGCAGCATTACTTCGAAAGAGGCATTTGGAAGATATTAGAAGATCACAGTTTTATGCTTTACCCAGATGTTTTAAGTGAAAAATGGGTGACAGCAAGAGGTAGGGAATAAATTGTAAGAGAACCCATCCAGTTCAGTGCAGTTGCCTAAGAAGGAAATAGCAACAGAAACAAACATCTTCAATGTTTACTTCAACTTCCTAGAGTTGGAAGTGCTGCTGGGAGAGAAATAGCACCAAGGGCATTTAGGCCCAGTATCACCACTGCCTAGAACTTGGGGCCAACTATAGAAATAATTGCTCCCCATCTAGTTATAGCTGCTGTTGTGCACAGTTCCAAGTTGTAAATCTTCTGTTTACACTGAGTCCAAATGCCTTTCTGAGCTTCCTCTGAAAGACACAGCAAGGAAGCATAGTCACAGTGATGCTCTTTACCTGCCCTATTATCCTTGATTTCCTCAAACCCACAGGATACACAGTAAGAGGGTTTCTGGAACAGACTTAAGGGCGGTCAGATCTAGACGGTCTTGTGCAGATGCCTTTCTGTTTATGCTGCAACCAAATGCCTTTCTCAAGTCTTCCTCAGGGCAGTCAGATCTAGACGGTCTTGTGCTTTTCTGTTTATGCTGCAACCAAATGCCTTTCTCAAGTCTTCCTCTGAAAGGCTCAATAACGAAACACAGTCCCAGTAGTACTCTTCAGCTGCTTCTTTATCCTTGGTCATTCAGCCTGACAGGATATACAGTCAGAGGCTTTCTGGGATCAACTTGAGGACAGTTGGATCTAGGTGTCCTTGTGCAGCAATAAGAAAGCATTTAGTAATACTCTGGCTTATCCTTTATCCTTGGTCGATTCAGAGTGACAGGATACACAGTCAGAAGCTTTCTGCAATCAACTTGAGGACAGTCGGGTCTAGACAGCCTTGTGCACCAATGAGAAAGCATAGTAGTACTCTTTAGCTTCTCCTTTATCCTTGGTCTCTTCAGAGTGACTGAATACATGGTAAGAAGCTTTCTGGAATCAACTTGAGGACAGATGGGTCTAGACAGTCTTGTGCAGCAATTAGAAATCATTTAGTAGTACTCTTTAGCTTCTCCTTTTATCCTTGGTCGATTCAGGCTGACAGGATACATGCTAAGAAGCTTTCTGGGATCGATTTGAGGACAGTCGGGTCTAGACAGCCTTGTGCAAAAGTAGGAAGGCATTTAGTAATACTCTTTAGCTTCTTCTTTATCCTTGGTCTCTTCAGCCTGACAGGATACAGAATCAGAAGCATTCTGGGACCAACTTGAGGACAGTCAGATCTAGACAGTCTTGTGCAGCAATAACAAAGCATAGTAGTACTCTTTAGCTTCTCTTTTACCCTTGGTCTCTTCAGACTGACAGGACACACGGTAAGAAGCATTCTGGGACCAACTGGAGGCCACATCCTTCTGGGGAAGGGCCCAAGGCTGCTTCCCGAGGCTGGCCTGGCCGAGGGGCCTTCACACGGGGAGCGTTTTCGATACGCCTCGCCTCACAAACCCGCCCAGGAAGCCTCCGAGGTAGCGCAGCCCGGCGGCCCCGCCTGGCACCGAGGAGAGCAGGTAGGCCGCGCCGGCTGCCAGCTGGACGGCGGCGCCCAAGGTGGTGAGCAAGGTGCTGCGGAGAGCCAGGGCGGCGTAGAGCGTGCCGCCCACGGAGCCGAGGTAGAGCAGGGCCAGGCCGCGGCGGTCGGGCTCGCCCAGGAGGCGGCTGGGGCCCCTCAGGAAGGCGGCGGCGCCCAGCGCGAAGGCCGAGCCCAGCGACCAGAGCAGCGCGAACTTCCTCAGCAGCAGGAGCGAGCCGTACAAGGCGGCCAGGCCGAAGCAGAGCGCGGCCAGCAGCAAGCAGAGGGCGCTCCCCACGAGGCGCTGCCAGCGCGACAGGCCCGTCGGCAGCCAGGGCTCCGGCTCCGGCTCGGCCCCGAACGCCCAGGTCTCCGCGGAGGACGGGAAGGGATTGAGCCGGCCCAGCCAGGACCCCAGGCCCGAGGCCGGCTTCTCCGCTTCCTCCCGCGGGGAACTCTGGGGCACCGACACAGGGACCGAGCCGCCGCCACCGACGCCTCCCTTGGACTGAGCCAAGTACTCCTGCAGCTGCCTGTTCAAATCCGCCATCTTGAGCTTCGGAAATGCCCGGATGCGGCCGCAGCTGTTGATAGGCGGTTACTGCGATGCTCTCCTCTAGCGCGAGACGCTTCCGGGTGGT